GTCCTTTGTGAAAATCATCCACACATCTGCTCCAATGGCTTGATGTTAAGAAGTGACCCGGCATTGCAAGTCCCTGTAACAATGACACGCAGTTAAGGCTTTTCACTCTTCAATCTCTCTATATGTTCCATAGTCTAGACTTTTACTATGATTGTCCAGTATTTGGAATCTCCCCTTCCCAGGTATAAAGCTAGAGCTATCTACCTACAGACCATGGGGTAAAAACAGAAGACCCAACAATTTCTCAAGTTTCAGATTCATGTATGCGTGTACGCAATATTCAAAGTCCTTAAAGGGAACCTGCGCCCAGGATAACGACGTTCAATTTACATTCACCGGCCACTTTATTAGGTACACCTGTTCAATTGCCAATCAGTCAATAACATGGCTGCAACTCAATGCATTTAGGTATCTAAGATGACTTGCTGAAGTTCAAACCGAGCATCAGAATGCGGAAAAAAGGAGATTTCATTGGCTTTGAATGTGGCATGGTTGTTGGTGCCAGATGGGCTGGTCTGAGTATTTAAAAAACTGCTGATCTACTGGGATTTTCACGCACAACCATCTCTGGGGTTTACAGAGAATGGTCCGAAAAAAAAGAGAAAATATCCAGTGAGTGGCAGTTGTGTGGAGGAAAATGCCTTGTTGATGTCAGAGGAGAATGGGCAGACTGGTTCCTGATGACAGAAAGGCAACAGTAACTCATGTCAATATGAACCAAAATCTCTGAGGAATGTTTCCAACACCTTGTTGAATCTATACCATGAAGAATGAAAGCAGTTCTGAAGGCAAAAAGGGGTCCAACCAGAATGGGCAGGCTGGTTGCTGCAGCTGGTCAGATGGTAGGGACAGAATTTGGCATAAACAACATGAAAGCATGGATCCATCTTGCCTTGTATCAATGGTTCAGGCTGGTGGTGGTGGTGTCATGGTGTGGTGGATCCATCCTGCCTTGCATCAACGGTTCAGGCTGGTGGTGGTGGTGTCATGGTGTGGTGGATCCATCCTGCCTTGTATCAACGGTTCAGGCTAGTGGTGGTAGTGTAATGGTTTGGGGGATTTTTTTTTTGCACTAGCAAAGTTTACCCAATAAATTGGCCGGTGAGTGTATATACAGAATTATTAGCAAGCAGTAACTATCTTTAAAACAAGCCTCACTGACCACTGTAGCTGCAGTCAGTGTTCAGCAAGTCATCCTCAAAGGTCACAGCAGAGGCATTAAAGTCATTCACGTTATTCTATCAGGTTAAAGTCAGGTGAAGTCTGTCCTCCCCTCTGAAGGTGGCGCTAGGCTTGAGCAGCAATTCCTCTACAACTGCGGTCATTGGAAGAGCAATTGGACGCTGGTGCCTTGCGTGACCTCTGCGGCCATCTTGGGTGAGGGCAGAGCTTATTTCAGACTTTGGCCCCCTGATCCGGCATGCATTTGGTGTGTAGTTAGTGTAGGAACAGGTACCCCATCTGTCAGGGACAGCATAAAGGGACAGTAGGGAGAGGTTCCGGAGGAGTTGGAAAAGTGCACCAGGCCAGGTTGTACCTTGTAGGAACTTCCTACAATATACATTTCACGTTACTTGGCCTATCTTTGACACATCATGCTGCACCCTGCTCACAAGCTGCTCAGTTAAACCTGAACCCCTTTCCAGTACTGTCTCAGGAGCTCAGCTCTTCCTGATAACCCCTTAACCCCTCCCAGGAGTGAGGCAGCAGCTTTCCAGCCTGATACTCTATGATGCTTACAGGGTAGGAGCTCTGGGATTGGGAAGGAGAGTAAGCTGAGAGAGTGACTCAAATTACATTTGTGCTTCTGCTGTGAACATTAAGGATGAATTACTCCTCAGTGCACATAATTATGTCTTGTTGTTATATATCTTATTAAGGATGTGTAAAAACATAATTCTCAGTAGCTTGGCCATGCGTTCATTTTATAGGGAACCTTTAACCAGTTGACCTCCGGAAAGTCTTTACCCCCTTCATGACTAGGGGATTTTTTTGCTATTCAGCACTGTACTGTTTTAACTGGCAATTGCTCAGTTATGCAACACTGCACCCGAATTAAATTTGTATCATTTTTTTTTCACACAAATAGACTTTCTTTTAGTGGTATTTGATCACCACTGGGTTTTTTTCATTTTTATTCTTCAAATGAAAAAAGACCAAAAATTTGGAAAAAAAATATCCAATAAAATCACATTTCCTCATAAATTTAGCCCAAAATGTATTCTGCTGCATGTCTTTGGTGAAAAAAAAATCCCAATAAGTGTATATCCCTCCACTGGCTTCCAATTGCCCAACGGATCAAATTCAAAATCCTAACACTGACGTACAAAGCCGTCCACCATACTGCCCCGAACTACATCACCGACATAATATCCAAGTACCACCCAACACGCACACTCTGCTCCTCACAAGACCTCCTTCTCTCTAGTTCCCTGGTCTTCTCCTCCCATGCCCACCTCCAGGACTTCTCCAGGGCGTCACCCATAATCTCTCACTCCCTACCCCAATTCATCAGACTATCATCTACTCTCCTCTCCTTTAGGCGCACCCTGAATACCCACCTCTTCAGGGAAGCCTACCCCACCCCCTGCTAATTCCTGACCTCCTCCACTCTTCCTACCACTCCATCCCCCTCAGCTATCTCCTCCTGTGCCACCATCCACTCCCTCCTAGATTGTAATCTCCAAGGAGCAGGGTCCTCGAACTCCTCTTGTATCGCATTGTATTGTTTTCGTACTTTTGCATATTCTGTATCCCATTGTAATGTACAGCGCTGAGCGAACTGTTGGAGCTTTATAAATACTGTATAATAATATATTCATTGGTTTGTGTGCAAGTTAGAGTATCTACAAGCTATGCTATAGATATATCTCCACCTCCTCTACTTGTTATAGGGCGAGATCTGCTCCCAAGGCATTTAGCCCTGGTTATTTGCCACTTGACCTTCATACAGGCTGGTCAGTAGCTCTGAGGAAAGGGATTCATCCCCAAAACGCGTCAGTTTGACCGCAAAGACAGTTTGAACATCTTGCTTGCCGTTGTGGCCATCTTCATTATGCAAATGCTCTTTAGATACACGCTTCATCTGTGAGTATGTTTTTATCCTTTATACCTTTGAATAAACCTTGGATAATGCACTAGGTGTGTGCGCCACCCGTTTATTCTCTATCCAGTGGCTGATCTCCCCGTCTGAGGAGGGCTGCACCCCTGAAGTATTCCTTTGGTTGCCGCTGTCCTGGTTCCTTTGGCTTCCCTTTGGCTGTGCATTTCCTGAGGCGCTGGAGAGTACATAAGATAGGCTATCAATCATCAGCTTTCTGGGGAGTGCATGGTGGTGGAGGAGCTTACACTGTGGATTGAACACATTGGGAAAATTATTGGAGATCCGTAAAGGACGTTCCTTTTTTTTGGAGTTGTTTTCTATGGACTTTGGCTACATATAATCACCGGCACTTTATGAGCACTATCAAATTGCATATTTCTATGTATTTATTTATTCACGTGGTCACCTTTGTGCTGATGCATATTTTGTGCCGTAACTGTCACAGATATATTTTGTTGCACAACTTTAAGCGCTACACTATTTTGGTTCCGTTACATCATTACAGGCTTAGCGCCTACCGTATCATGTTTGGGGAGGGCTAAAAAGAGAGCGCACTAGACATAAGTTGTGACCTTTCTGATATTTTATCTAAAACAGAAAAAATATTTGCCTTTGGATCCGCTTTAAACAAGTCTGCCATAGGTTGGGGGTTGCTAAAACAAGAGCACCAGACTTGCAAAAAATGGTCATTCCATTCAGCTTGAATGAAAAGCTTCAAACGTTCACCATTAAGAAAAGCTGATCTGTCCTTGCCCCATATGTTACATAGGTATAATGATGCCATTTTTCTCCCAAGTACATTGGAACAATACATTTCCCATTTCCTTTTTTTTTTGTGTTGTGCAAAGAATATGTAACAATGTTGGGGGTGCATGACACTGTTGAAAGGCATAAATGCCCCATGTTGTCTGGTATGTGGTATCGTCATTTGAATGAACCATCGTTCTCTGGTTTAATCTTTATAGATGATACACATTTTTTTTGTGACCACCAATGTAAGGGACATTCTTCCCACTGACCACCAATGTAAGGGACATTCTTCCCACTGACCCCCCAATGTAAGGGACATTCTTCCCCACTGACCCCCAATCACCAATGTAAGGGACATTCTTCCCACTGACCTCCAATGTAAGGGACATTCTTCCCACAGACCCCCAATGTAAGGGGCATTCCTACCACAGATCCCCAATGTAAGGGACATTCTTCCCACTGATCACCAATGTAAGGGACATTCTTCCCACTGACCCCCAATGTAAGGGACATTCTTCCCACTGACCCCCCAATGTAAGGGACATTCTTCCCACTGACCCCCAATGTAAGGGACATTCTTCCCACTGATCACCAATGTAAGGGGCATTCTTCCCACTGACCCCAATGTAAGGGGCATTCTTCCCACGGACCCCCAATGTAAGGGACACTCTTCCCACAGACCCCCAATGTAAGGGGCATTCCTACCACAGATCCCCAATGTAAGGGACATTCTTCCCACTGATCACCAATGTAAGGGACATTCTTCCCACTGACCACCAATGTAAGGGACATTCTTCCCACTGATAACCAATGTAAGGGACATTCTTCCCACTGATCCCCAATGTAAGGGACGTTCTTCCCACTGACCCCAATGTAAGGAGCATTCTTCCCACTGACCACCAATGTAAGGGACATTCTTCCCACTGACCACCGATGTAAGGGACATTCTTCCCACTGACCACCGATGTAAGGGACATTCTTCCCACTGACCACCAATGTAAGGAGCATTCTTCCCACTGACCCCCAATGTAAGGGACATTCTTCCCACTGATCACCAATATAAGGGACAATCTTCCCACTGACCCCCAATGTAAGGAACATTCTTCCCACTGATCACCAATATAAGGGACAATCTTCCCACTGACCCCCAATGTAAGGGACATTCTTCCCACTGATCACCAATGTAAGGGACATTCCTCCCACTGACCCCCAATGTAAGGGACATTCTTCCCACTGACCCCCAATGTAAGGAGCATTCTTCCCACTGACCACCAATGTAAGGGACATTCTTCCCACTGACCCCCAATGTAAGGAGCATTCTTCCCACTGACCACCAATGTAAGGGACATTCTTCCCACTGACCCCAATGTAAGGGACATTCTTCCCACTGACCCCCCAATGTAAGGGAAGTTCTTCCCACTGACCCCCAATGTAAGGGACATTCTTCCACTGACCACCAATGTAAGGGACGTTCTTCCCACTGACCCCCAATGTAAGGGACATTCTTCCCACTGACCACCAATGTAAGGGACATTCTTCCCACTGGCCACCAATGTAAGGGACGTTCTTCCCACTAACCCCCAATGTAAGGAGCATTCTTCCCACTGACCCCCAATGTAAGGGACATTCTTCCCACTGACCCCCAATGTAAGGGACATTCTTCCCACTGACCCCAATGTAAGGGACATTCTTCCCACCGACCCCCAATGTAAGGGACATTCTTCCCACTGACCCCCAATGTAAGGGACATTCTTCCCACTGACCACCAATGTAAGGGACATTCTTCCCACTGACCATCACACTGATATATTATGAGTTGTAGATGTATTAATTCTTAGCTGGGGTTCCCTGAGACCAGACAGTTATTTCAAGGTTTTCTCTGTGTTAAAAAGGGTGAGAAAGGCTGCTGTAAAATGGGTGCATGACACTGTTGAAAGGCATAAATGCCCCATGTTGTCCGGTATGTGGTATCGTCATTTGAAGGAACCATCGTTCTCTGGTTTAATCTTTATAGATGATACACATTTTTTCCCCCCCCTTTGCCTTTGGATGGCTTAACACTCTCCCTCTTTTTTTTTTTTTTTCATGTTGCTGATTTCTCTCATGTAGACTATATTTTCCAGTTTGACTCAATGATGGAGTTGTTTCTTTGCTTCTTGTGCGCTTAGCCATTTAATTAAAGCGATCCATATTGAATTCATGTCCAGATGCCTTGACCAGCGGAGTCAGATCCTCATTGGCATGCCAGCTGCTCGGTGCTGAGAACAGCTCCTACATACTAATGAGGAGACAGGCAGCGATTCATCAGCCCATGATACAGCTCCAGCATCTACAAGCACTTATGACATGTAATTGGTGGTGCATAAGGAAGCGAGGCCACATTAAAAACCCTACAGATAGTCAGAGATAAAAATTAATGACTTTTGCTTTGTGTAATCCAGTGTGCGTTGGTGGGAAAAGGGAGGGGGGGGGTGGGGGTGGGGATTAATAATGGCACAAAGGAACAAAGCCTGACTTGCTGTTGTTTACGTACTAAACAATACAAATTTTCGGCACGGGTGAGCCAGGACCCCTGGCAGAATCAGCATTTCCATATTTATGATCAAGAAAAAGAGCCATCTTGACAGGGTCTTGCAGGGCAACCCGATTTCTATGATTTTCATTAAAGACTACTGAGATTGTTATTATTGTGCTGTGATGAGCCATCTAAACAGGATAAGCTTGAAATTTTGTGGCGGAATCTTTTTATCTACAGACTTTCCTTTTAAACGCGCGGGGTTACGGCAAACGCGCAGATAGCCGTAAAGATTCATTTGTTAATATTGCTATTTATACCTGTGCTAGATTCTCAGAATTCATTAGAGAGATATATAGGTTGAACCCACACTGTGCTTTGGATATATATTATATCCTTTATATGTATATTTAGAATATAGGAAAGAGTAGCATTTGACTGGTCTCAGGGTACTTCAGGTTCCTTATTCATTTATAAGAAAGAATTAGATATATACATCGGTATATATAGAACATTGCTTAGTGAGGGTTATATAGACTCAATACAGGGTTTCCCAGAGATTTGCAAATGGAGAAATAAGGGAAGGCCTGGGTATAAGCAGCATGGGCCCTTGTGCAAATAAACTGTGTTCATTTTACAACCAGGGTTCTTTGGAAACCTAGAGTTCCTCTAGAGGTTGCTAGGGGTTCCTTGAGCAATGCACCAATGTAAGGGACATTCTTCTCACTGACCCCCAATGTAAGGGACATTCTTCCCAATGACCACCAATGTAAGGGACATTCTTCCCACTGACCACCAATGTAAGGGACATTCTTCCCATTGACCACCAATGTAAAGAGCATTCTTCCCACTGACCACCAATGTAAGGGACATTCTTCCCACTGACCTCCAATGTAAGGGACATTCTTTCCATTGACCTCCAATGTAAGGGACATTTTCTCACTGACCCCCAATGTAAGGGTCATTCTTCCCATGACCATCAATGTAAGGGACATTCTTCCCCACTGACCACCAATGTAAGGGACATTCTTCCCACTGACCACCAATGTAAGGGACATTCTTCCCACTGACCTCCAATGTAAGGGACATTTCTTCCCACTGACCTCCAATGTAAGGGACATTCTTCCCATTGACCTCCAATGTAAGGGACATTCTTTCCACTGACCACCAATGTAAGGGACATTCTTCCCACTGACCTCCAATGTAAGGGACATTCTTCCCCATTGGCCTCCAATGTAAGGGTCATTCTTCCCACTGATCACCAACGTGAGGGACATTCTTCCCACTGACCCCCAATGTAAGGGACATTCTTCCCACTGACCTCCAATGTAAGGGACATTCTTCCCACTGACCCCCAATGTAAGGAACATTTCTTCCCACTGATCACCAACGTGAGGGACATTCTTCCCACTGACCCCAATGTAAGGAGCATTATTCCCACTGACCCCAAATGTAAGGGGCATTCTTCCCACTGACCACCAATGTAAGGGACATTCTTTCCACTGATCACCAATGTAAGGGACATTCTTCACCCACTGACCCCCAATGTAAGGGGCATTCTTTCCACTGATCACCAATGTAAGGTACATTCTTCCCACTGACCCCCAATGTAAGGGGCATTCTTCCCACTGACCACCAATGTAAGGGACATTCTTTCCATGATCACCAATGTAAGGGGCATTCTTCCCACTGACCCCCAATGTAAGGGACTTTCTTCCCACTGACCCCCAATGTAAGGGACATTCTTCCCACTGACCCCCAATGTAAGGGACATTCTTCCCACTGACCCCCCAATGTAAGAGGCATTCATCCACTGACCCCAATGTAAGGGACATTCTTCCCACTGACCCCAATGTAAGGGACATTCTTCCCACTGACCCCCAATGTAAGGGACATTCTTCCCACTGATCACCAATGTAAGGGACATTCTTTCCACTGACCACCAATGTAAGGGACATTCTTCCCACTGACCACCAATGTAAGGTGCATTCTTCCCACTGACCTCCAATGTAAGGAGCATTCTTCCCACTGACCCCCAATGTAAGGGACATTCTTCCCACTGATCACCAACGTGAGGGGGACATTCTTCCCACTGACCCCAATGTAAGGAGCATTATTCCCACTGACCCCAAATGTAAGGGACATTCTTCCACTGACTCCCAATGTAAGGGGCATTCTTTCCACTGATCACCAATGTAAGGTACATTCTTCCCACTGACCCCCAATGTAAGGGGCATTCTTCCCACTGACCACCAATGTAAGGGACATTCTTTCCACTGATCACCAATGTAAGGGGGCATTCTTCCCACTGACCCCCAATGTAAGGGACTTTCTTCCCACTGACCCCCAATGTAAGGGACATTCTTCCCACTGACCCCCAATGTAAGGGACATTCTTCCCACTGACCCCCAATGTAAGAGGCATTCATCCCACTGACCCCCAATGTAAGGGACATTCTTCCCACTGACCCCAATGTAAGGGACATTCTTCCCACTGACCCCCAATGTAAGGGACATTCTTCCCACTGATCACCAATGTAAGGGACATTCTTCCCACTGACCACCAATGTAAGGGACATTCTTCCCACTGACCTCCAATGTAAGGAGCATTCTTCCCACTGACCCCCGGCTCGTGACCTGTGATTCTCGTCTGCTGTCCTGTACTGTTTTGTCCTGTTGTTGTTGAACCGGCTTGTCTGACTACTCTTTTGTCTCTTCCACCAGCTACACGCCATTGGCGGGCGGCCATTACCGCAGCTGAGGTGTCTCGGGTCTCGGGGGCCGCGACCTGGTTCATGGCTGCGTCAAGTCCATCCCCACCATCAGGGGCCCTGGTGAAGGGCAGCCTGGGACTTAGACTCCGCGCCCTGAGGGACTTCGGTCTGTGGGTGGTGGTTGTCGTCAAACCAGTGCGTTACATTGTTAGGCCTGCCTGTCCGTTCCTCGGCCCCTGCCCTGACACTAAGATCTTGAATAGTTTTCATTCTGCTCTGATTGTCCTAAGAGGCTGTATAACCCCTGACCCTGTGTCTGGATAGCGCTGATTGGCCCTGTGCTGATCACATGCACCCTCCCAAAGGAAAAAAAAACTCTCTAGCAATACACACTAAACTGAGCATGTGCAGAATGACCCCTAGAGCTCTATACTATCAGCAGATGGTTTGGAGACAGTAGAAGGGGAGGATCAGGGAAGACAGGATCAAACAGACTTTTTTCCCAATGCGAATTAACCCCTTAGATTCCTTAGTGAATCTAACAAGCATGCTTTACTGCATATATGGACTGATTTTTTATTGATGTGGGTTTAGTAACACTTTAAGGTAAAAATGTTCTGCCTTTAGAACCACTTTAAATATGGATATTCTGAAACATTCAGCTTCATCCACCATTTGGACAAAGTGTGGTTTTACACTAACAACAAGGTATTGATAAAATAAATACATCATTGCAAAGATTTGATGGTGTACTTTGGCCAATTACATACTGTGACGGGAGTGACTTTTGGTGGGGGGCCCATGGAACACACAGCTCACTTTAGAGGGGTGGGGAGACCCCTGTCTCAGCTCCCCATATCCCTCTTATGTGTAAGTCACCCTGTGCCTGTTAGGGGTGCAGGGTGGAATGTCCTGATATTGTGTAGACATGTATAGGTGGGGTGTGGGCGTTGTTTCATTGTTTACTGCCATGTGGTGCATCCCATTGTTCTATTGTGTGTCTTGCTTGGGAGCAAACTATTATGGGATGTATGTGTTTGTGTATTGGCTTGGTGGGGGGTGTCTGCTGATGTGTCTCTGGTTGCTAGATTTGGTTTGCCCCGCCCTGTGTCCTTATGCAGGGAGGGGGTTGTTCCTTTGAATGTTTATATGTTGTGTCTGGTGTTACAATAAAGCAGTCAATTTCCTGGTTGCGTTCAAGAGTGGTGTCCGTGGATCTGTGTTCGGACAGGGGAGCGGGAGTCTAACGGAAATACCCAAGTGCAGTCGGGGTCCGGTTCCGTTACACATACCCCCAACTTTCTGAGATGGGAACGAGGGGTACCTATTAGCAAATGTATGCAGGCCTAGGGCACACCCCCTGCACACCCCCTTAAAGGAGAATTATATAAAAAAAAAAAGATCAGCTAAACCTTTTTTTATCACTACTATTCTTTAATATTGGCTTTTGAAGTTTACAAATGCAACAATTTAGAAATTGGATGAAAGAATTAGCAGTGTGAAACATGTTTTGAACAATAAATACTACATTTTATATACAAAGATATAGACCAGACCAACATGAGGGACAAATGAGGAGGAAAGAGGGACAGAAGGACTTTGTTCCAAATCAAGGACAGTCCCTCGAAATCAGGGAAAGTTGGGATTTACAGTATTTTCTGGCGTATAAGACTACTTTTTATACTTAAAAATATACCCCAAAAGTTGGGGGTCATCTTATACACGTGGTATAATATGTGAACCTTGAGTTTGTTTGGGTCAAGCTGGCTCGATGTGCGGTATATACACAGTATACTGCACTGAGCCAAGCGGTTTCAAAACGTACCGGTACGTCCCTACAGTAATCAGCCCGCTGGATGCGTGTATGTACGGTAGCTGCGGCTACATACAGTATACGCTGGGCCAATCACGGCGAGTGATGTATTCTACGGCTGAATACAAAGCCTGCTCGGATTGGCTGAGTCAGAGAGGTGGGCTGATGACGTCACAACCTCAGCCAATCCAAGCAGGCTTTGTATTTTTTAGTAGAATACATCGCTCGCCGTGATTGGCCCAGTGTATACTGTATGTTGCAGCAGCTACCGTACACACACGCATCCAGCGGGCTGATTACCGTAGGGACGTACCGGTATGTTTTGAAACAGCTTGGCTCAGCGCAGTATACTGTATATACCGCACATCCAGCGGGCTGACACATTAATCTGTCATGGGGAACATTTGTTTTGAGCCAGCTTGGCTCAGCGTGGTATACTGTATGTACATTACTGCACATCCAGCGGGCTGTATATATACTGTATACTGTATGTAGCCGAAGCTACCGTATTACCGCACATCCAGCGGGCTGTATATATACTGTATACTGTATGTAGCCGAAGCTACCGTATTACCGCACATCCAGCGGGCTGTATATATACTGTATACTGTACGTAGCCGAAGCTACCGTATTACCGCACATCCAGCGGGCTGTATATATACTGTATACTGTACGTAGCCGAAGCTACCGTATTACCGCACATCCAGCGGTAACATCTGATTTGGAATTTGATCCATATGATTAGAGATGAGCGAATTATTCAAAAATTCGATTCGGCTGATTCGCCGAATTTGCGGAATAAATTCGATTCGATGCGAATTTATTCGCTGCGAATTTAACTTATTAAAAGGGTTTCTAGGCTTCAGAGAGCCTTTATATTAGTGCAGAACACTGTACCTTTAATTTAAATGCCCTTGGAGTCTGCTGGGGAAGAGAAATAATACTGACAGTCAGTATGACATGCAGATGAGTGCCGTCGATCTTAGAATCACCGCACACTTCACTCATTTGGGCAGTCACGGGGCACGACGAAGAAGATGAAGAAGAAGATGAAGAAGAAGAAGAAGATGATGAAGAAGAAGAAGATGAAGAAGAAGAAGAAGAATAAGAAGAAGAAGAAGAAGAAGAAGAAGAAGATGATGAAGAAGATGATGATGAAGAAGATGATGATGAAGAAGAAGATGATGAAGAAGAAGAAAGAAGAAGAAGAAGAAGAGACGAAGAAGATGAAGAAGAAGATGAAGAAGGATAAGAAGATGAAGAAGAAGGATAAGAAGAAGAAGAAGAAGATGAGGATGATGAAGAAGAAGAAGAAGAAGATGAGGATGAGGATGAAGAAGAAGAAGAAGAAGATGAGGATGAGGATGAAGAAGAAGAAGGATAAGAAGAAGAGAAGAAGAAGAAGAAGGATAAGAAGAAGAAGAAGAAGAAGAAGAAGAAGAAGAAGAAGATGAGGATGAAGAAGAAGAAGAAGATGAGGATGAGAAGAAGAAGAAGATGAGGAAGAAGATGAAGGATGAGGATAAGAAGAGAAGAAGAAGAAGAAGGATAAGAAGAAGAAGAAGAAGGATAAGAAGAAGATGAGGATGAAGAAGAAGAAGAAGATGAGGATAAGAAGAAGAAGAAGAAGGATAAGAAGAAGAAGAAGAAGAAGAAGGATAAGAAGAAGAAGAAGAAGAAGAAGAAGAAGATGAGGATGAAGAAGAAGAAGAAGAAGATGAGGATGAAGAAGAAGAAGAAGAAGAAGATGAGAATGAGGAAGAAGAAGAAGAAGAAGAAGATGAGGATGAAGAAGAAGAAGAAGAAGAGAATGAGGAAGAAGAAGATAAGAAGAAGAAGAAGATGAGGAAGATGAGGATGAGGATGAAGAAGAAGAAGAAGAAGAAGAAGAAGAAGAAGAAGAAGAAGAAGATGAAGGATGAAGAAGAAGATGAGGATGAGGATGAAGAAGAAGAAGAAGAAGGATAAGAAGAAGAAGAAGAAGAAGGATAAGAATAAGAAGAAGAAGAAGGATAAGAAGAAGAAGAAGAAAGAAGAAGAAGAAGAAGGATAATAAGAAGAAGAAGAAGAAGAAGAATAAGGATAAGAAGAAGAAGAAGAAGGATAAGAAGAAGAAGAAGAAGAAGATGAGGAAGATGAGGATGAGGATGAAGAAAGAAGAAGAAGAAGAAGAAGAAGAAGTAGGATGAAAATAAGAGGAATTCCAGTACAGCAAAATGTGTATCTGCAGAGAGCTCCGCTATTTCTGACAGTTCTCTGACAGTTCCTTCACATTTACAGCGGTTGAAACATTGTATCTATTTGTTTCCGAATAAAAACATCTGTATCCTAAATGGAAACAAATAGATACAATGTTTCAACCGCTGTAAATGTGAAGGAACTGTCAGAGAACTGTCAGAAATAGCGGAGCTCTCTGCAGGGACACTTTTTGCCGGCTGTAGAAGGGATGAAAATCGGCCGATCGGGAAAAATTCGATTCGTGCATCCGAAGTTTGCTAATTTTCGGATTCGGTGCGAATCGAATTTTTCCTAATATTGGAAATGAATTCCACTTCGCCAAGTTCGATTCGCTCATCTCTACATATGATGACTGTCTTACAAATGTATCACAAGATGTCATTCATGAACTTATGATGTCAGAGGATGAACATGAGGATTTTGAAGGATTTTAAGTACCGGTAAGACATAACCATTTCAATTAAAAAATCTGATGTTTTTAAATGGTGTTGCCTCGGAAGGGGGGTAGTCTTATACGGCGAGCATAGCCCAAAACCTTTGTTTTAACTGGAAAATTAGGGGGTCGTCTTATACACCCAGTCGTAATGCATAACCCTAGATTGGGTCATGGTTATCCATTACTGATCTAACTTCTGGCCAGACTTGTATATAGTTCGGTAAAGTTCAACTGCACATCGGGGCCCCCCCCCCCCCCGATTCTCTTAAATTGAAAAAAAAAAAAAATCAGCCTAGTAAGCCGTTTACTTGGCTACGTTGACATCTCTTAAATGTCTTTATGTTAAACAGTTATAATTCTCATTAAAGAGGTGATATGCAAATGATGACACTGGACAAAAGATGGAAAATTCTTTGAAGATCTGAACTCTCAGCTGGATAAATCTGTTTGTACTAACATCCATCAACAACACCTTGTGGAACATGAAAGGTCAGAGCATCCCAACGCTGCAAGGGTAATTTTCACCTCCTGGCAGAAATAAATCTCCTGTTATTGTGAGAATGCGAGTTACACGCAGACACCTAGTGACATTACCAATGAGCGCTGGCAGCTAGTCTAGGCGCTGATACCGCGAGGCAGGGGCATTCGGCACCGTCATACCTTTTAATTTCTTAGCGCCAGGAGTCGCACAGATATAAAAAATAGGAGCACATTGCCTGCGCCTCCATAACCACCTCTCCTGTTACAGCGTATTGTTGTTCCTTTGTCTGCTCCCGACTTTCGCTGTGTAATGCCGAGAGATCGATGTAACACCCACTGAAGAGATTTATGCGAGTCCCAAGTACGCGATTCCGAAACGCTGCCTCTTGTTTCTCTCTTACAAACTTACATTTCAACCGGTGTAATGCTTTCGCCAACACTTCCGCTAACCATTTCCCTTAGGGCTCTGTCACTACTGTTGACTTTCATTTTCAATTCTGCCTCTACGGCTCGGTTTTCATCTACAGTTCTGCTTCTGTCACCACTTTTTATTAGCTCTGCACCTCCTCTTCTACATTTATTGAGAGTGTAGTCCTAACAATGGTTTTTTATCTATGGTTCGGTATCGCCCACCTTCCTTTTACCTGGAGTTCTACCTCTACGTTTTTCTTTCATCAAGATGCGTCTTTACGACTTGGCTTTGATCCATAGCGCACAGCCTCTAACACTTTCTCTAGAATCGGGAGTTCTATCTCTCCACACTTAAAAACTGAGCTCTCATCCCCTCAATGTACACATTAACTGAACTAGCTGCAAGTTTGGGTCTGATATTTTATTATTATTATTATTATTAATAAACAGGATTGCTCAGCGCTTTACATTATGGTGGGAGCAGGGGCGAACTGACAACTCATGGGGCCCCCGGGCAATAGGGGATCATGGGGCCCCTGTGTCCTTGCCCAAACTCAAAAAAGCCTATGAAAATGGTACCAGGGGCATCTCATGGGGCCCCCTACTGACCCCGGGCCCTCGGGCAGTGCCCGAGTTTCCAAATGGTCAGTCTGCCCCTGGGTGGGAGACAGTACATGAGACAGTACAGTAACAATACAATGTGATACATGAGGGGTTCGAGGGCCCTGCTCCTTGGAACTTACAATCTAGGAGGGAGGGGATAGTGGTACAGGAGGAAATAGCTGTGGGGGATGGAGTGGTTGGAACTGTGGCGGACTGACAACTCATGGGGCCCCCAGGCAATAGGGGATCATGGGGCCCCTGTGTCCTTGCCCACACTCAAAGCACACCCAAAAAAGCCTATAAAAGGTACTATGGACATTTCATGAGGCCCCCTATTGACCCCGGGCCCTCGGGCAGTGCCCGAGTGCTCGAATGGTCATTCTGCCCTTGGGTTGGAAGAGTAGAGGAGTTCCGTATTAGCTGAGGGCGGGGTAGGCTTCCCTGAAGAGATAGGTTTTCAGAGTGTGCCTAAAGGTGAGCAGAGTTGGCGATAGTCTGATAGATTGGGGTAGGGAGTTCCAGAGGATGGGGGAAGCCCTGGAGAAGTCCTGGAGATGAGCATGGGAGGAGGAGACAAGGGAGCTAGAGAGTAGGAGGTCTTGTGAGGAGCGGAGAGTACGGTTTGGGTGGTATTTGGAGACAAGATCGGTGATGTAGTTTGGGGCAGTATTATGAACGGCTTTATACGTCAGTGTTAGCGTTTTGAATTTCATCCGTTGGGCAATTGGAAGCCAGTGGAGGGATTGGCAGAGAGGGGTGGAGGACACTGAGTGGAGGTCAGTGGAGGGATTGGCAGAGAGGGGTGGAGGACACTGAGTGGAGGCCAGTGGAGGGATTGGCAGAGAGGGGTGGAGGACACTGAGTGGAGGTCAGTGGAGGGATTGGCAGAGAGGGGTGGAGGACACTGAGTGGAGGCCAGTGGAGGGATTGGCAGAGAGGGGTGGCAGATACGGAACGGTTAGTAAGGTGGATGAGTCTGGCCTTTCATGATTTCATTCATTCAGCATTCATGATAAATTGAAGTGGCGATAGCCTGCAGAGAGGTAGGCCAATGAGGAGGAAGTTACAGTAGTTGAGGCGTGATATGATAAGGGAGTGAATGAGTTGCTTAGTGGTTTCCGAGGTGAGGAACGGTCGTATCTTGGAGATGTTGCGGAGGTGACGTCTACATGAGTTTGTCAGCGACTGGACCTGGGGCTGAAAGGACAGATTGGAGTCTAGGATGACACCTAGTACTCTGGCTTGAGAGGTGGGACTGATGATAGTGTTGTTGGTCTTGATGGAGAAGTCGGGGGGGGGGGAGCGCAGGCTGGGGGGAATACTAGGAGCTCAGTTTTGTATTTTACCTATTGCATGCTCCTGGCTGCAGTATTATCCTAAACATGTCTTCAGAAACTTCTGAGACAAATACTACAAAAGGAAAGAACAGGACTGTTGGACTTGCAGAATATCGAGGCTAATACTTACCCCTAATCCATAAAAACCACCACCATTCCCACACGCCAAGATTCCATTCCCACACGCCAAGATTCCATTCCCACACGCCAAGGGAGACGTCTCTGTAGCTGCCTACCACCCAAAGGGAGGAGAGTCCGTTAAAACGGCCCAACTCATCCATCCCATCCTGAGAGGGGGACCTCCGGTCATACTAATTATATGCGTATTTAAAGATACGCATCTGGTGAGTGCGTATTTTTACTATTTTTTGGCACGCCACTGAAGTTTGAAGTCACCATCAACTCCTGTATCCAGCCCCTTATCACGAGCTGTCACCATTTTATAAATATAATTTTATACCATTATACTTCTGAATAATTTTTAAGCGCTGCACTTTTATGTATTTGAGTTCTATCTCTCCGTTCTTCTTTCAGCTAGAGCTCTATATCTGTATTTTTCCCATCTATAGCTCTCCCACTCACACTCCCAGACTTCTTCCCCGGCACTCTTCTGTAAGTCCTCAAGCTCTTTGCCCAATATTCTTCTTCAATTCAGAGCTCTGATTGTACCCTTCCTCTTTTGTCTACTATTTTCATTACATATACTGTACATGTCTCTCTTTGTCATTCTTTGTTTCTTTTTGGATTTTTCTTCCACTCTCTCTAGCACCCTTCTCTAAATTCCAGAGCTCTTTGGATAGTCTTCTTTTACTCAGGGCCTTGGTTCTAGCATTTTACTTTCATCTGAAATTCCATTTCCACCATTGTTCTTTCATCTATCCCTCAATCTCTACCATTCTACTGTCATTTAGAAATCGACCTCTACAAGTCATCTTTCATCATTTTTTTCAGTAATTAACATTCCTCTTTTATCTGAAGCTCGGTTTCCACTATTCTACTTTTATCTGGAGCTCTGTCTCTACCATTCCACATTCATCTAGAGCTCATTCTCTACCATATGTTTTCCATCAACCTGTCTCTAGCTTTTTGCATTCTTTTATCATCCAGAGCTGTCTCTACCATCCTCTTATCATCCAGAGCTTCTTTCATTTACAGCTCTGTCTCTACCATTCTTCTATCATCCAGAGCTCTGTCTCTACCATCCTCTTATCATCCAGAGCTCTGTCTCTACTATCCTCTTATCATCCAGAGCTCTGTCTCCACCATTCTTTCATCCAGAGCTCTGTCTCCTCAATTCTTCTTTCATCTAGAGCCTGTCTCTGCCATTCTTCTATCATCCAGAGCTCTGTCTCTGTCATTCTTCATTCATCCAGAGCTTTGTCTCCACCATTATTTCATCCAAAGCTCTGTCTCCTCAATTCTTCTTTCATCTAGAGTTCTGTCTCTGCCATTCTTCTTTCATCTAGAGCTCTGTCTCTGCCATTCTTCTAACATCCAGAGCTCAGTCTCTGTCATTCTTCTATCGTCCAGAGCTTTGTGTCCACCACTCTTTCATTTAGAGCTCTGTCTTCACCATTCATTTATCATCCAGAGGTCTGTCTCCTCAATTCTTCTTTCATTTAGAGTTCTGTCTCTACCATTCTTCTGTCATCCAGAGCTCTGCCTCTGTCATTCTTCTATCATCCAGAGCTTTGTCTCCACCACTCTTTCATTTAGAGCTCTGTCTCCACCATTCATTTATCATCCAGAGGTCTGTCTCCTCAATTCTTCTATCATCCAGAGCTCTGTCTCTACCATTCTTCTATCATCCAGAGCTCTGTCTCTACCATTCTTCTTTCATCTAGAGCTCTATCTCTGCCATTCTTCATCATCCACAGCTCTGTTGCCACCATTCTTCTATCATCCAGAGCTCTGTCTCTGCCATTCTTTCATCATACAGAGCTTTGTCTCCACCATGCTTCAGTCATCTAGAGCTCCGTCTATCATTCTTCTGTCATCCAGACCTCTGTCTCCACCATTCTTTTATCATCCAGTGCTCTGTCTCCCCCATTCTTCTTCATCCACAGTTCTGTTGCCACCATTGTTCTACCATCCAGAGCTCTATCTCTGCCATTCTTCTATCATCCAGAGCTTTGTCTCCACCATTCTTCTGTCATCCAGAGCTCTGTCTACCATTCTTCTATCATCCAGAGCTCTGTCTACCATTCTTCTATCATCCAGAGCTCTGTCTACTATTCTTCTATCATCCAGAGCTCTGTCTACCATTCTTCTATCATCCAGAGCTTTGTCTCCACCATTCTTCTGTCATCCAGAGCTCTGTCTACCATTCTTCTATCATCCAGAGCTCTGTCTACCATTCTTCTATCATCCAGAGCTCTGTCTACCATTCTTCTATCATCCAGAGCTTTGTCTACCATTCTTCTATCATCCAGAGCTCTGTCTACCATTCTTCTATCATCCAGAGCTCTGTTGCCACCATTGTTCTACCATCCAGAGCTCTATCTCTGCCATTCTTCTATCATCCAGAGCTTTGTCTCCACCATTCTTCTGTCATCCAGAGCTCTGTCTACCATTCTTCTATCATCCAGAGCTTTGTCTACCATTCTTCTATCATCCAGAGCTCTGTCTACCATTCTTCTATCATCCAGAGCTCTGTCTCTATCATTCTTTCATCTAGAGACATTATTCTTCATCTACAGCTCTGCTCTACGATTTGACTTATGCCTACATTTCTGCTATTTCCATTGTTCCTTCACTTAGAGCTCTGCCTCTAAGCTTGTTCTTTCATCTAGAACTCTAACTCTAGCATCTTTTTTTCATGTAAAGATCCATCTTTATCATTTCAATTTCACCGAAAGCAATCTTTTCAATTCTCCATTCCTAGACTTTAACTTCTATAATGTCTTCATCCAGAACGGTTTCTGCAGTATTCCAATGTCCTTTCATTAGAGTATATGTAAACCCCACCTGGCTGGCATTTCGTTTAATTTAATTACTATGTATCATAAACAATAATCATTTGTGTAAATAGAATATCACTGTAACCGTTTAATCCTTTGTTTCGTCTCACTGCTGCTGAACTCCTGCATCCTTTTTGCTGCCACTTTCTGCCTACATGTACTGTAGAGATAGCTGCATTCCACTTCTCAGGGTCAGTCTCTTGATGGTGATAACAGGGGACTGTGGGGCGAATTTACTAAAATGAACACACAGAATCTGGTGCAGCTCTGCACAGAAACCAATCAGCTTCCAGGTTTTATTGTCAAAGCTTAATTGAACAAGCTGAAGTTAGAAGCTGATTGGTTACGATAAATAGCTGCACCAGATTCTGTATGCTCCAGTTTTAGTAAATCTCCCCCCCCCCCATGTCTGCATGATGTGTATTGAAATTGCACTGGTAGTCCCCATCAGAACACAGGCATATCACACCGAACAAGATATTTGATCCAAACAGCATCTGAGTCCATACGATGGAACCCTGGATGACCAACTGGCTAACACGTTTCGAGGACACAACCTCTTCCTCAGAGCCCTGAGCTCTAAGGAAGAGGTTGTGTCCTCGAAACACGTTAGCCAGGATTCCATCGTATTGACTCAGATGCTGTTTGGATCAAATATCTTGTTCGGTGTCATATGCCTGTGTTTTTATGTCCATTTTGAGTATTATATTTACTTTGTTCTTTCAATAAAAATTTTTAAACGATAATGCACTAGGTCGGTGCGCCCTCTTTTTTGTTTTTCTATGTGTATTTAGTGAAGTTGGAGCACCCCGATCTGTTGAGGGCAGCAAGCAGTGCATGTTTCAGAACATCCTTATTGCTTCCACCGGGTCCATTCCCAGCGCAGGAGAAAAGTGTTTTGCGGTGTTAGTCTCCATCAGAAGTATGAGTGACAGGGTGACAACACAGGAGTACAACTGAGAGACAGGGACAGAATGTTGTCACCCCATAACAGGGAGTGTCTAAACAA